CCTCAGCCAAAGTCACTGCTGAGCACCCAGGTAAGGGAGAGGGGCTTGGCCAAATCCCACATGACTCTGTGGTTTTGCAGGAACTCTGACATTGAGCACAGTGTTAGTCAAGGCTTCAGGCAGTGACAGGTGTTTCCAATAGGCAACCTCCCTTTACATCAGAGACAACAACACTGAAGGGTGAATCCAGAAAAAAAGCATTATTGGCAGAAAAAACATCCCATCATGTGGAAAAAAACACAGAAATGATGCAGGTGTGACTGCTTCCCCTGCCTACAGGGAACATAAGGTAACATTTCCTTTAATTAAAATATACCTGCTTCGCAAAGCTAATCTTCTTTTAATAAACAAAACTCAGCGCCCTCTCCAGCAACCTCTGCATGCAGTATTAATTAAACATGGCATCCCTTTGACAATGCATCAAGCTGGCAGCAGGAGGCAAAGCATGTCTTGGCAGTACTTGAAAAGGCCAACAGCGAGCCCAGTTTCCCAGTTGCCACCATGTCCAGCATCTTCCCTTTATTTTTCTTCCAGTCATTTTGAAGTTCTGCTGCAATGTCCTTTACAAAACAAACGTTCAGAGAAAAAAAAAAATAACCTGTGGCTGCTACTTAATTTTCTAGTGATGTGGACAAGACAGCAGTGAGTCGGTTAGCCCTATTGCTTTCCCACCAAGAAAATACCCTTCATCTCTGTGGCTTTCCAGGAAAGGAAGAAATTATTCTTTCTCCTCCAGCTCCCTGTCTCCCCCGAGAAGATCGTTCATCTCCCAGCTTAGAGGAAACCTCCTCCAAAACGCTACTTGCATCAAAATTGTGGAGTTATTGTCTCTCTAAAGGCTTTAGCTAAAACTGGCTGAAACCAATGGAAAACTCCCTTGATGCTAACATCTGAACTCTGAACAGGAGGCTGAATAAACAAAGATTTAGCACAGGCTGGCTCTCTCATAGTATCTTAGTATACAGACAGCAAAATCACTAACATCCTTCAGCAAAAGTATGCAGAAACAAAGGACAAACTTTAGAAATTGATATCAATCAAATATTCATTCCTTTAATAGGTATAAATAAATGTGTCGCTAGCCAGTGTTGGGATTTAATAATATAATGCAACGTACTGAAACTGAACAGCTGCCAAACCCCATGGCATATCTGAGCATTGTACCTACAGCACCTCTTGCACTGGGATCACCAAGTCTCCAGAGTACTTTTTGTTTTTAAAAAAAAATGTTACACAGAATTTTGGTACATTTAGATTGGAAATTTGAAACTCCACATGCTATTCAAATGTACTTTTCACTATAGTAAAAAAAAAAAATAAAAAGGTATCTCACAGCCTTCCCCACAGTGACTTTTGTTTGCAGCAGAACATCAGCAGGTGCTGGGAAAGCAGCCTTGCAACACGCAGCCACTAGACAAACCCTTGGGTTGCCTTCAGCTATTTTTTCTTTCCTTGCCCCTGCAGAGAGGCAGCAAAGGACCCAGTGAAGCGGAGCCACCTGTGACACCGCAGGGTTTCATCTCACCCGGTCATGGTCTCATGAAAAGGCCACGCTCTGATAGCTGCAAAGCCATGGCTGGTGATCTCAAGTACCCTTGGAAAGCAGCACACACACCAAGTCCTCTTTGTTGACATGCTCAAATCTTTTTTTTCCCCCCCAGTAATATTAAAAACTCTAAAATCCTCAGCTTTATGGAAACCAAAATTAAATTGTTTTCATAATCATTATAGACATCAGCCACACATAAAGATGAAAAAGAACCCATTGAAGCTAGAGGCTGTCAAATAAATACGCTGAACCTTTTACAGTACAGAGGCTCTTTGAGTCAGCAAACCTTTAAACACCAGTTGCCACGCAACACCAGTAACATCAGATGATGAACAGCTCAGCAATGCGCACTGAATGTGGTAAATACAGGGTTTCAGTATTTATGTATCACTATTTATTAGAGTATTTCTTTATGCTGTTGACAGTCCCTGATAAAACAAGGACAGGGATGCTATTAAAATCAGGTCCGTTCCTGCAAGGGAAGATTGATTGGGGCTGCTCAGACATAGCATAAGCTATATGGTACGGCATATGGTCCCTATAGGTCTTAAGGTTGCCAGAAAATGAGAAATTGTCCCAGCCAGCAGCCATCTGCCTGGAGTAAAATGTGTTTTCACAGGGTGAATAATTAAGCCAAGATACATCTTCCACATCACAAAACAGAGGGCAGATCCGCATAATTTTACATAAAACTGACAAAAATCCTTGGCTGGGGGTGGGAAAAACATCAGGTTCCTTATCAGCAGGCAGGTAAGTGGATTTGGAGTGGGTGGTGCTTATTTCACTTCAAACTTGCTTTTCCAGCAGTGAAGCTGTTCTGGTTTCAGTGAGGTTACCTGGGGGCAGAAATAGGGCCCTTTCCATCTTTTAAAGGCATCCCTGAAGACAGCAGTTGCAGAAATGATGATTAGAGCACAGTAAGGCAACAGCTTTTTCTGCCAAATTTACTTTCCCCTGTAGTCCCTGTTTTAGAAACTGTGATTTTCAGAAACTCAGCTTTTTTGGGGGAAATTCTCATTAACCTGTGGTAGATCTGTCAAAAACCTCGTAAATCAGTAAAGGCAGGAACCTCCCTGGTTATGACACAGTGAGGGCTCTGAGGCATTCAAGTCCTCACACTGAGGAAGCCATACCCCAAAACTGCAGTGTTTTTGGGGTGTGTTGTCTGGAATTTTATGTAATGGAGAATAAATCCATCCTAATTATAGGAGGAGGAGAATGAAGAGAAGCTTTTAAAGATTTTCTTTGATTAGGAAAGAAATAGCGGAAGGGACCGAAAGAGTTATAGTACAAAGCAAGTATATCTGCATTTGTAGAAAATCTGCACATACGGAGATAACAGCCCAATTTTACATTTGAGAGGCAACAGCATTCTATAAATATTGAAATATGATGATGTTGAGCAACTTGTGCCTGGCAAGTCCTGGTTTCTTCTCCCGTTTGGCTTTCTGCTTGTGCTGGATCATCTCCCCTGCCTGCCAAGGGATGCAGAGCAGTCCCAGCCCAGAGCCCTCTGGCTCCTAACCCAAGGGCATCCCTTGTGCCTCCCTTCTCCTCAGTGAAGAGGTATTTGGTAGAAGGTCAGTTTGGTTTCATGAAATCAAGTGGCATTTGCTTAGAGGAGGAAGAAAATCTATCACCTTTAAATAAGCTGTGAGGCTCAATGCTGCAGGACCAAAACACTAAGAACAGTGATAAAACCCACACCAGGCTGGGCAGAGCAGAATGGGAGGACTAATAACTAAGCTCTTTGGGGGATGCCCTCACACAGATCAGGCTGCACAGTGAAAGCCAGCTTCATCCACCCTTTCTTGCTGCATCTAGTCCTGCAGGTTGGCTGTCTTTTTCCATTGGGCCTACTGTGGAGATAAATTTCCAGAACAGCTCTTTCTGATCACAGAAAATTGTCCTCTGTGAAGTACAAGCACAGATTTCAGATCTTGAGTTCTGAGCTACCCAGGGATTTTTACAAAAGCAAAAAAATGCTGGGTGGTGTGATGCAGCCTAATGGACTATTTATGCAAACATTTATTTTTTTGACTATCTACCCTGTTATGCTCAATGGTGTTCTGCACAGGGATTCCAGCAGGTCTGAAATGCAAGGGAAAACTGGCACTAGGCTGGCATATTTTGACACAGCACAGTTGGTGGAATAGGGGCAAAACATATTTGGCTGTTTCTGCCTATTAGTGCTTGTGGCTGGCCTGTGGCATACTGATGAGAGCTTTTCCAAGAGCTTTCATATGCACAGATGTGATAAGATGTTAATTTTTCAGAATTTCCACAGCTGGGTTTGCTGCACAGAGGAACAAGGAAAACAAATCTTTTTTGAAAACAAAAGCCCAGGGACCTTCAGGTGACATAGTTGGGGCCAAGCTCTGCAGCAGCTGAGCAGGAGGGCAGCAGCTGGGCTTGGATACTTAAAGCCCCCTTAAAAGTCAATTCAGGGACCCTGCTTTTCTACTCTGGGGGTTATGGGGGCTTTGAGAGTGTCATCACAGCTTGCAGCTGAAAGCCAGGACAAAGGAGATGCTCTGTGTGCCTATTCCTCAATAAAAGGACTCCTGCATAGAAAGCCTTTTATTTATGGCTTAGTTATTATGAAGTCGGTTTTTCTCCGTTTCAGTTTGCTGGTGCCCACAGAGCCACACAGCATGATCCTCACTGTGCGACCAGGAGCAAGACAGCTTTATTACACCAGGCACACACAGCCCCTACTACAGCAGGGCATGATAAGGCAGCCCTAAATCACAGCAGAGGAAGTAGCTTTATTTCCAGTTCACCACTTGATCATTAAGAGCTGCTTCCCCAATTTGTTTACTTTCCATCTCATGGCTGAGGTATTTAAACTCTACTGTTTTGACCCCATTTCTGTCCTTTCTCACAAAGCCAGCTCTTTTTATGCCCTCTTAAATCATCTTTCAGTTTGAAACACCCTTGCTGTTCATCTGAGCCAGGATCTTAGACAAGATGATTTTCTAAAGCATATATCGCCAATATATTGCCTAGATACACATCCACTCTGTGGGGTGAGTCATATCCCTGTAAGATTCCCCTTCATCCCTTCCATTTCACTTTGTTCCTTTACCTGTACATGAGGCCACACATACTTTTTTTCCCCCAATCCATTTTTACTATTTTATTCTCTCACAGCAATAACAACTCTTAGCACAATTAAGACAAAGTCTGGTGTACCAACCAGTCCATGTTAACTGTCCCTTCTGGTTGGCTTCATCACACAGAGTGCTTCTTGATCTGAAAGGTCATTTGAATACCTCCTGGCAGTTACTCAGTTGAATATTGATCTCAGCATCATTCTGCACTTGTGAGCCTGTCCAATGCTGTGTGCTAGCTTCATGTTAGTACATAGCATTGAGAAACAGCAAACAGCTTTCAGTAGCGTTTCCTTAACTAGAATGAGGAAATTGGAAAAGACCTTCTTAGACCTTACCTCCTTGCTGCCTTCTAACGTAATCTGTCTGGAAGCAGATATCAAAGCCCAAACCTTCCTGCTGCTACCCTAGAGGACAAGAGGATGCTAATTACTGTCCACACAGACCAAAGAGCAAGACCCCCCTAAGCCTCTTCTTTTATGCAAGAGAGACCTGAAGACACTCCAAGCTACTAACCAGGGGCACCTGGCAGGGCAGGAATGTCCTGGGTCTGGTTACAGGTGTGTGGGTTGGGTGAGAAATGGGACAGTCTTGGCTAATTGGGTCAATTAGTTCAAGAATGTGACTTACAGTGCAAAAAAAGCAACAAGATAACCCTGGAGATGGGACTGAGAGCTGTTAGCTGATTTGGGGGGATACAGGAGTGTATGGATGTTCTGGAGAAAAATGCCATTTTGTATTTGTAAATACATGTATACCTGATTTGTTTCATCTGCTTCACCTGATGGAGGAAAATACCCAGGCAGGCCCCATGCCTGGCTGAGTGCATGAGTTCAAGTGACAGCAATCCTGTCAGTCAGTTTGAAAGGGGGATGCTGCCCTTTGCTTTGCCCTCTGCAATGATCTTTGGCTAAATAAGTCAGTCTAAAAGAAGCAGCTGAACAGTTTGGAGTGTGAAGAAGGCATCTGGCGAAATAATAAAGAGTGACATGGGTCCTGGAAACTGCTGGCCTCTGAGCCGCAGGTTTGGCTGTGCCCCTTGTGCAGAGGACAGGCAGCTCCATGTCCTGCTTCAGCCTGGGGCCTCGCCTCATTTACAGCGAGAGATGGGCAGAAGGAAGCAGCCTCCTGTGCACAAAGGCTGGTGAGACTGAGACTTTTGCTCAGTGGGGCAAAACCAGTGCTGCATGCAGGGGACCAGCATGCCCGGTCACAGGACCATGGGGGAAGATAAGTGAAAGGTGCCTGGAGAAGGGGAGATGCTGTGCTGGGTCACACCAGGAGCAGAAGTGTTCTGATTTCTGCAGATGCTCCTCGCCAATTAAGAGGCAGCTCACATGCAAAATGTGCAGATTTTACACTTGCAAGTCAAACACAGTCGAGGGGATTCTCTTTTTATTGCGCATATAGCGCACGTACGGGAATCCTCCGGTGGAATATTTAAATGGTAATCCATCCCCAAGCATTGTAAGGGAGTAGCTTTCCTTCAGCATCGAGTAAATGGCAAAGCACTGTCGGAGGAGGAAAGGAAATAAAAAATCACTCCTGCAGCAGCGACTGGTATTTTTCTGCACGCGGCAGCCTTGTGAGAGCCCTTTGTGCTAGGGTTTCCCCTCCATCCTCAGACACCCAGGGGCACAGAGGGAGCTGGGGGTGACAGAGGGGATGGGGGGTAAGCAGTGAGAGGAGGGGAGGTTGGATCCGGAGCTGTGAGACAGAGACAGCAACGTGACTGAGAGTGGGCGAGACGCCACCGAGGGAGATGCTGATGAGGTCAGCCTGGGAATCCTCGGCTGTAGCCGGCCGGTTTCTATAGAAACACAGAGCCGGGGTTTAACGCATTAAATGGACAAGTTTTAATGTCGGCGCTTAATAAAAAAAATATAAAAAAAACAATAGAAATACAGTGAGGGAATCCTTATCACATGTGCGCCCCACGGTTTCCCTCTACTGTGTCAGCAGTCTGCTCCAGCACGCTCGCAGGAAAATTACAGAAAATAAAAATCTTCAGCAATGACTCAAAACAGTGACTATGTCTTCTCACTAGGCAGTGGGCTTATCCTTAAAAAGTCAGATCATATTTTTTCTGTATAATTTCATCACAGCATTCTTTTCTAGTCCTGGCAGTACGTGCCCTGCTCAGGGAGCCATCAGTGGCAGCCCCATTTGCACGTCTGGACTGAACCCGCTTCTGAGCTGATGAAATCTGAGCAGGTGGCACCAGCCCTGAGCTGGCCATGGGGATCAGGCACCTCTGCAGGGAGCCTGGTCAGAAAAAAGTCCTTTCATCCACCAACTCCTACCCAGGAAGAGTTGTGCTTTTTCAGCAGGTGGCACCAGGTAATTGGAGGTACCCAGGTAGGAACTAACTCAACAGGCGATGCTGTTGCAGACCCCGTTTGGGGGCATATATCAGAACTGCAGGATGGAGGAGCCTGAAAATCTGCCCCTCGACTGCTTGTAATGTCTCTATTTCTGCTGACACAGATGGTAAGCCTTCTAAGAGGTCAGCCAAGCACACTTTGCAAGCACTAAAATGACTTAAAAGAAATACAGGGGGTTTGGTTTTGTTTTTCTTTAAACCCCGGTGAGACAGCAGCTGCTCTGATGTAACTGGCCCTATCATCTTCCGCAACGAAGTGAAAATTAGAGATAGAAAGGTATGAAATGCAATTGTCTTGCCTTAGCAATAGGAGGCTGCTTCAGCAGAAGGGAGCAGGTGCCCTCCTTAAGCGTGTCGGTGATGTGAGTGCTGCCAGAGCCCCGCAGCAGGGGCCCAGCTTGGTGTGGCTCCTGGGGACCACTCCTCAGTGCCACCCATCTACCCCCTTTTTTCTCCATCATTCTGGGCCAGCATGGGAGATTGCAGCCCCAAAATGCTGCTTCCCAGAGGGGGAGAGGAGATGGGACCAGCCAAAGTAGCCATCATCATCACCAAACTCAGCATGCTCCCATCCCACCCCCAAAATAAGGGGCTTGTGCATGCATTTACTGTGATTCATCTTGGTGATCAATCCCCTTTGGCCCAGGGTATGTATTCTACAGTGTTTGCAGAATGCTGAATTTCCCCTGGGTAGCGTTTGATTTTGGGTAATCCTCACAAAAGGTGTGCCAGTGACCCAGGCCTTCAAACACAGCACCAGCAAAGGGATCTGGGCTCGCAGTCGGTATCACCAAGGTGCTGGGCACTGAGGTCCCCTCCCAGCACTGCACAAGTGTGGGTTGGGAAGTCTGAACTCCACCATTAAATCTGTTTCCCATCCACGGAGGGAATAAAAATGGGGCTAAATGGCTTTAAAGCAAGAAATCTCTGCTAAATTACAGCATCTCTGCGATTCTCCAGGAAACAATCGAGGCATGTAACGAGCTGTTGCCAGACAGCAAATCCCATCACCTGGGACTTTGTGGATATTACGAAAATCAAGCCTGGGCGAGTGCCTTTCATAGAGGTGTCCATGCTGGGGAGGAGGAAGAGGAGGAGGAGGAACTGGCTCCTGGGGCTGGGGGCACCCTCACCACCCTCAGCTCCAGCTGCAGTTGGGTGCTCACCTCACCTGCCTGTGCCCTCATAGGGGATGCAAAACCATGGGGGCTTAAAAAATAAAACAACAAAGTAAAAACATAGGATTTTTAACCATAGTAAGAGAAAAAGGTGGAGAGTCAAAAATGAAAGTATCCTCAGGAATCAGTTACACAGCCAAACCCCCCAAATACACAGTGGCAGGTAAACACAGGAGCATGAAAGCTGGTTGAAGGAGGCCTCTTTTATTGTACAGATGATAATAAGAGCAAAATAAATCATCTTTCTTTTACCATAAAAGTGTTTTACACCATTCAATTAAAGCCTCTGAGATAAAATCATTTCTCCTGGGTGTTTTCCTTTGCTCTTCTCTTTCTGTCGGAAGTAATTTCAATATTTTACTATCTTAGTAATAAAAAATACATAATGGTTTGCCAGGCAGTGTTATTGCAGCAGCTTGCCTACTATATGAAGGAATTCAGAGCAGCCTTTTGCCTCGCTTTGCACCGCAGATAAATGTCTGCCCAGGTGCCAAGGGGCTGCGATGGGAGCAGGGCATTTACTGGGGGCTACACAAAGGCTCTGGGTAACCAGGAGAAGCCCAGCCAGGTGTCCAGTCCCTGGGGGCTGTGGGTAAGGCAGAGCATTTCCACGCTCCCGTTTCTTCCCCCAAGTACAAAGAGAAAAGAGGAGGTGAGTCAATGCTTCTCTAAATATTAATAAGACAGTGCTGCCCAACTGTATCCTTTAAAACACTCTGTGCCTTAAGTGGTCCCAAGTGGAACAGTGTATCCTTCCCCTCGTGTTGTTTAAGAAGAGCAATAAATCTGCAATTGCTTTATTACTCAATCCTACTAAAAAATGCATTAAGCCCTTCTGGCAAATTCTAGTTTTGTAAAACAATTACTCGATTCCGACGTTCGAAAGAGACAAAGTCAAACAAGACATTGCTGGATACTTTTCAGACCTCATGTGGTTCATTTTGGAACGGATTCTCCATCATTGAACTCTGATGTCACTAGAAAGGAATTCCAGAAGTTAAAAAGAGGAAGGTATATTCAGAGTAAATATCAGGAAAAAGGACTTCCAGGGAACTCTAGGTGCATGCAAGGAAGAATACCCTATGTCTCAGGAATGTGTATATATACACATCTATATCTGTATATCTGGGTATAAAACTATGTAAAAAGACTTTTTTTTTTTTTTTTCCCTCTACACCTTTAAAAAAAAACTCTCTGCTGTTAGATTTAATGGTATTTTTCCTTCATGTGCAAGAACAAAGGGATAAAAAGCCCCTTAGGAAAGAAACATCCCGTTATGTCTTGCAAAGGCCCCATTAATAAAGGATGAGTGAAGAGGAGGGCAGAAGATGCAGGAAACAGAAGCCGAGCTCTGAGCCTAATTAGACCGTTCTCCAAAATTTCTCAGGAGGCGCTTGCGGAGGCTGAGGAGGTAAATATTTTATAAGGGGAGCTCCCTTTCTCTTCACGTTTCTCCTTGTGCCCTCTCTTGAACTAATTACTTGCTTTGTAGAGGGAAACACTGCTAATTTTAGCATTTAAAAGGGGCTAAAAGGGGCCCTGCGTGGAAAGCAAGGGATGTTCCCTGGATGGTAAAGGCATTTTGTCTGAGAGCAGGTCTGCTGGTGGCTGCAAGAGGGGTCTGTGGGGTGACTTCTTGAGGAGGGGCTCTCCTGGGGGTGTGGGAGAATTGGCATTGTTTAGAGTGCAGCCAAAGAATAGGAGGGAAAGAGAAGAAATACCCCAGCCTGTCAAATTATTGGAAATCCTCCTGCTCTGATCCTGAAAGCAAGGTTAATAAGTCCAGCAGGCACTCGCAGCTCTAACAGAGAGCACCTGGAGCAGGCAGGATGCAGGACAGCGTCTGTACATGAGATCACTGGGGGCTTGGGCAT